GATCGCGAGCAGCGCGCGCATCCTTCACTAAGTCACGGTCACTCCGACGTCATACAAGGGCCAACTGGCACTGCTGGCAATGAGTCAGAGGCATTGACGCACCTTGGCCGTCCGATCGTGTCACTCGGAAAACATATGGACACGTCACCGTCGATAAACCTTCAGGAAGTTGCAAAATACAAAAAAGGCGGGACCGACTCGTCATGCAGTCTAGCTCAGCAGGGACTGTTGCAGGTTCTGGAATTTTTCGTCCGAGTCAGCACTCAGTCGGAAGCTTAGAAGCTTCTCAGGCATATTATTTTGAGAAAGAAGAAAGATATTACGTAAGCAAGCAGAGTAAGAAGAGATTCTTCAAGCACAAGTACTGGCTAGGTACTTGACACACTGGTGGATATAAAAGCCTGATCTCTCTCTCACTCCATTCATTCCGGAGTTGAGCATCTTCCAGACCTCTCGGAAGCCCATTTCAAACCCTCTCAATTGAAAGCTAGCGCCTTCAACCCCATTGAGATATTCGCGTCGTTCATAATTGGCCCTACTGCAGCGGTGCCAGCAGCAATTACAGACTGCAATTGCTGACTGTGTGCAAACAAGCGCTTAGCAGCTGAACTTGAAGCTGCCAGTAGCTGCGAGCGACAACTCTTCCCATCAAGATTTGCTGCAAGTCCTAGGAGGGCCAGGAGGGCTGCCATGGGCTTCGATCCTCAGAATAGGTGAGTACGTTTCGTTTATCCGAAGACAGCGGGCGGGCTGCTCGGCTGGCAGTCCACACGTACCCAACTACGACGTGAGCTTGGACTGAAAAACGAACGAGAGTACTGTTGTCCTCAAGGCCTGGAAGTGCACAGGGGACTGACCATCTAGCTATGGACTTGAACCAGGTCATTTAGAGCAGGTTATACACTTGGGATAAGACTGATGAAGTGCTTGAGCTCGCTGCTGGAAGTTTACATAGAGTGCAAGCCGTCTCGGTTCTGTTGGCAACCCTTGCAGCTCAAGCTAGTTTTTGACCACAGGCATGTGTAGGTCTGTCTAAGTCTGGAAATCTTCTAGAAAAGGCGTGCCTCACTGATCTTCAAGCCAAGCTTGCCGGTTTTGTATGCATGCAGCTCATGATTGGTATAAGCATGTATCTTTCTCATTCAACGGCGGAGCTCACTTTGAAGTTTGTAACTCGCAAGTCGTGCCAGACCTGATGATATTCTCATAGGCCTTTGGACTGTTTGTGCAGATTCTGCCAGCGTACAGGGCAAAGCTTCTATAGCCTGGGGGCCTCGACAACGAGGACGGGTGCGGTGAGTAGCTGAGTGATGTTCCTGTTAGCTTATGGCTCGGGTACCAGGACCTGTGTGGACTGTCTAGGCTGTCCGAGCTCTGATGAGAGGCACATTTTATGAGCCCGACTTTGCCTTGAAAGGCAGACTTTCCTGAGTTCGGGTTTTCGGACATCATTTACCACTAAAGGTCAATAAGTGGAGCGTTCCAGGAGGGTCTGTCCAACTTCGTCCATGCAGATTGGTTGCCCAGGCTGTCCGAGGTGTCCGAGCTCTGGCCAAATTTCTTTCATTGATTGGAATGCTGACGTCACCTTAACTCGGACCTGCATATATGGACTTGGGCCAGACAGTCCCAGTATTGCTATAAGGCTTTTTGATCGAAGTGCTGACATCAATCGGAACTGTGACTTGTAAGTGGAGTATTTGAGTGTTGTCTGTCCAAGTGGTCTGTTGAGTGGTTGTCGTCGACCATGCAGATCGTCTGTCTGGCACGCTGTTCAAGGTGTCCAAGCTCGGGCAGAATTTCGATCATTCGGATTGCTGACGTCAACAGCCTCCAGCCAACGGTCTGAGTACAGAGGCATAGAGGGCCTTATCTACTGCAATCAAACAAAGTGCTGAAATCAGTGTTGCTATGATTGATTGTGTGGAGGATCCGAGGTTCGAGTTCTTTCTTGAGGATTGAGCATGGCAGGGTGCCTCACGTATTGCTCCCTCTTTTCAAAGTATGTAGCGACACTCTTGAGGACTCAGCAGTAGCGTCAGGAGCCACCAGGGGCTTCATTTGTTGGAGTGACCAGGGCGCATTCAGCTCCAGCCTCAACCCCGTCTTTGCTGCAAGTGCGCCTGATCATGAGCGATAGGACGATTATGGAGAGCGGGGAAGGAGACCCCAAACATATGGAGGCTTCACATATGGAGGTGAGCCTAGCTGAAAGCAGCCTTGCGTTTTAGCATTTCTAGACTCGTGACCGGCCCAGTTTCTTTGCAAAGTGTTGCCGTGATTTTCGATGTACTATGCAACCTCGTTCGGGAGGGTGGTCTTAGAGCTGCTGTCGGCCGATCTACAAGCTGCTTGCAAGCTGTTTTCGAGATGGCGGTATGAGTGGTTAGCCAGATGTTCTGAGGTGTCGCTAATGGGAGCTGTTAAAAGTTGCTTACGGGCTGTGTGCACCCGAGGCACGAGTTTCTGGGCGTGGATCAGATGCTAATTGCAGGCTGATCAACCCTGCTGATTGGGGTAGTGTTTGCACATACAGTGGAGATGTCAGGGTCTTCCAGTAGGTATGTGTTGGCCTGATCAAGCTTGACCAGATCAGATCTGCCAAGCCTGACCTTATCAGATGGAGGTGGCGCGCAAGTCTGAAATACAGTTCTGGCCGCACAGCAGGCAGGAAGGTTGTGCACTCCCCGGGTTAGCCAAACAGGGGCATGGCATTCTGCAATTGTTGGGACTTCCATGTTGCGAGGTTTTTTTTGGAAGTGGCCTGTGAACCTCAGATTCAAATGCATTTGAACGCCTTGTGATTTCCAAGGTGACTTATCCCAGACGACGCTTCTGGCAATCCGGATTCGTTCGACGTCGAGACAGTGTTTCGAAGAAGCTTGAAATGACGGTAGAGTCAAAGTGCTTTGATTGTCATGTCG